CTCAGATACTCAACTAATCAAAGTGATGTCAGAACAAAAATGAATGACCAAAAAAACATTTTTCTCCTTCATTTATGTCACACAATGCTGTATGAGACGTTTCTCGCGGTTAGTATCATGGTTGCTAGGCAACCTGAACAGCGCGACGAAGCATACACCGTCCCATTTCACAAGCCTATCACTTCCACACTTCTCGTACTTATAGTACGAGAAGTGTGGAAGTACGCGCACGCGTAGTGCGCGTACTTCAAGCGTGCAGACCCTGAATTGGGACACAGTGCAAAAGAGACAAAGGTAGTGCAAAGCTAGCCCAGGTGGTGGGAGCCAATCATAATTCAAATACACACATGTCCAGTGTTGGTAGGAACCAAAATTCCTGTGAGGTAGGGGGACCTTTGTGTGTCTTCAGGCAGGAGGTGTGGGTGTGATTTTAAGACGGATCTAATGATTTAGATTTTTTTCTAAAAGAATCACATCAGATAAGAAAAATGTGACTATTTTCAGTTATCTCAATAATAAATAAGTAAGAAATCTTTTCACTTGTAGTTTTTATTTCCACGGCTGAACGAGCTGTCAAAAAAATAAACGGAAACCACAGTATGTGGGAGGGTACCATCTCGCATTGCGTTACCCTTTGGTTAAACATAAAGGAAACCAGTGTGCTGTTAGCAGTTTATGAAGGGGAATGGTAAAGCGTTTACTGGTGGCTGCTGACACGGAATATTAATACGTCTCTTGGAGCGGGTCTGTTTTAATAACTCGGAAACATGATAGCGGAGAACTGTAAAGTGGTAAATAAATCGTATTTATTACACATTATTAACCCAAATTCTCTCCAATTAGCAAATTAATTGCTAGCCAGCTGCAATTGCGCCCGGTGTGTTAGCGTCTGTATATATTATCTGAAGTTTAAACTAAATGCCAAGGCCGTGTTTCAAAACCATACTGCTACCTAGAGTGTTTTAAAGCTGGTTTTGACATGAGGTAAGAACACATTCAACACTCTGTTTCTAGCCATGATGTGAGTAGGAGAATGAGACTGCATGAGTGGATCGTTTCTAAGTGTCCGTGCGCGCTGGAACACTTGGGAGGATGGGGGTTTGGGCTGCTCAGGTCCCTGACCCCGCTGCCATGTGTAAATTAATTTATCTGCACTGGAAACATTTTGTTCTTCCAAAGCAAACTGCCAAGAACAACAAAGTGCCAGTATAGCTGCTCATGTTCGCCTTGAACCAGACGTTCTCGCTTCCCGTCCCTGGCGCACGTTTTCTTGTTTTCAGAACACAGTGTCTGTCCTCTGGGCCCACACTTTACTTCGTGCCCTAAACCTCTTTACCTGGTTAATATTCACTTAACCTGTGCAAACACAGAGTTCAGATGTGTCAGATGGAAGTGGCGCTGTAGTTCACTCATACACTGCTTTGTTTTTCTTCAGTTGACGTTATGTCTGCATCAACTGGCTCTCCTCCGAAGAGCTCCGCTTCCTGGATCTTCATCCCTCCCAGCAAGGCGATCTTTCAGTTCACTCAGGTAGCAGACAGCTGAGGACCGTAGATGAGCTTCAGGCTATGCTCAAGTTTGCATGCAATGAGACTGTATGTGTGTGTTTTAAATCTTGCAGGGATGCTAAGCGCAGAGGCTTGTTATGGAAGACGCTCATTGGCCTCTCTGTTGGCGTTCCCGTGGCGGTGAGCATCAAGTATGCCGTATCGGAGCCGAGACAGAGGAGACAGATGAGGATTGTGATTGAAGGGTTTGGCCGCTTCTGCAGGTTTGTATGAATGTCATTATCAGCATCATGAGATTCTAACAC